ACCTGTTTGGACATGTTTTAATGTTCTGTAGATAGTCGCGTCCTCCAAGTCAACCACCTGTTTGGACATGTTTTAATGTTCTGTAGATAGTCGCGTCCTCCAAGTCAACCACCTGTTTGGACATGTTTTAATGTTCTGCAGACAGTCGCGTCCTCCAAGTGACGGCAGTCCGATGACATAATTCACACGTACAGCAGGCCTAATAAAACAGTTCAGAGCTGAGAGAAACACTCGTAGTAGCGTATGTACGAGATGGGGAGGGGGACATCTGCTCACGGCCAGCCACCATCGATCTGTATGTAGGACTGGATGATGGATCAGCTCAGCGTAATGCAAGCCGCACGAGACGGGCGGGATTAGCTTCTACGTCACACCTCTCTTTCTATCTCTCTCTATCTCTCTCCCCCCTCTCTCCTCTGTTCTACACGCCCCTCTGTCACTGGTCTTCTCTATCTTCTCTGTGTTTCCAAGTAATGCACAGCCCACTCACCCCCAGAAAAGAAAGTAAAGAATTATATTATCATTTAATTAAAGCTTATATTATGCTCATACACCAGACTTGTTTCCCCAGAAACTCCAAAAATAGTACAATTCCATCTCAAAATAGTACAATATTGTCTCAGAATAGTACTATACTGAAGAAATTAGTACAATTGTAGCAATAAAAGGGGCACATTCGCTGAGTACACATTTTATAAATATTTAAATACCTTGTGTATTGATGAAGCTTGCTGAACTTTAAAGCTGCTGGAGTTCTTTTGCACTGAAAGTTTCATCCAAGTCCAATCAGCTTCCTGATTTTCTCTTGAGGACTAACAAGGCCTCTGTTGTTTTTGGGCCATTATTTTTTTCCCTGGTCTGCGCATGTTTTCAGGAGCATAGAGAATATTCTCTTGCACGCAGCACTGGAGTGAGGTATGGTGAGGATCCCTTTCACTAAATGAGCAAGATTCTTAAGGGATGGGTGCTTTTGGCAAATTGTTTGCCAAATCCTGTCAACTCTTACCCCATCCTCAATGCAATCCTCAATGTTCCTCTGCTGATGCCTATCAAAAATTCATGGATGGTGTCAACTTCAGTCCCTCTGGGGAATCTGGTAAGGAAGTATTCTAGCTGGTGTTGTTTAACCTCCTTTTTGGATCAAATACAGAAGCATTCTGAAGTGCAGGATCTGATAGGGAAGGTTTTTTTCGAAGGTAGTCAAGCACCATCTCAAAGAAAAAATAAATGTATTAAATTTGTCCAACTAGCTACAACATAAATGCATACATTAACTTAACCTATCTACACAAGCTCATCTGGTCAATACCATTAACTGCTGTTGCTGTAGTTATTGAATTAACGTTAGGAGAAATGTTGAACTACATTCCCATTGAGTTAATTTGTTCTTTATCTCAACTTTAAGTGAGGAAAATCGTATGTCAATATAAGGCATCTTCGCATTAAAAAATTCGGTCTAAATATTCAAAGTAGGTCTTTCATATTAAAAGTAGGCCTGCATAATTTGTTGAAGTACACGTGTGCAAAATTTCATTGAGATAGCTCATGAAACATTTTCACAATTCTCCTCAACGTTGACCTCATTATGCAAAGGTTGCACAGGCCATTTTGGATTAGTGATCCCACCCCCTTTTAAATGGCAGAAAACGCAGATACTTAGCTTAGGAAATATTCATTATTATCTCTATATACATCAAAATATTTTATAACTTGTGTTTCAGAAACCATTTTGAAAACATTTTTAAATTTGAGCTTTAAAAACCCGGTAGAGTCCATATTATTTGCGATCAGAATTGATGGTGTGCAAAAAGTCATGGGAAACCACAGCCATTTGCATAATGCTATGCCGTAGTACTACCGACTACCTCAAGTTTCATTCATAAGAGTTTGCCGTGTGAAAAACTATTAACACCATTGTTCAGGGAGAGCTTTAGTTAATTAGTCATGTGCCAAAGTTGAAAGTTCAAAATAAGTAGATACCAAACAACATTTTAGGGGGTGCGTTGCCTTATTTGGACTATATATTATATAGCATTTACTGGTATAATGGACGCTGAAGATTCGGTAAACAGAAAAGCCATTTATTAATACATTATATTAAATTTACTTATATAAATAGTGCATAGTTAGATAAGCTACAATTTATCTATAATTGTTAACATTATTAAACTTATTTTTTTAATACAGCATTAGTCATGATTAGTTCTGAAAATAAAATTATCATTAAAACAAGAGTTATAATATAGCTCATGACGCCAAAAGCGGAATTGGGTACCAGAAAATGGAGATGCGGTCCATGTTAAAAAAGGACAAATTAAGTTGTACTTTAAAATTCATAAGTTTAAAACTACAACAGCTAAAAATATGATTTTGGTGTTATAATTCTTTAAAAAAATTAGCTTTATTCAACTATGCCATTGGTTTATTTTTACAAAAAGTTTTAATTTTCTAATCAAAGTGCCTACTTAAGGCCAGTTACCTGATGGAACTAAAGGCCTAAAAATAGCGTCTATTTGTTCATGTACAATAACCATTTAACAAAATTGAACAAGATAAAAAAAAAAAGGTAGCCACATTTCATGAATCTTTTGTCATAAATGACGCCATTGTGGGAAATCAAGGAGCTCTTCTGTCTTCAAAGATACGTTATAAAAAATGCCCAATAGGATATATTTAGATTTAAATATTTTTTATTTTATAAATCTATCTACTTTGTCTGATATTTCTTTCTAGCCCACTGGATCCATGCACAGCCATGTTAGGGTGGTACTCGCAAAGGACCTCAATATCAGGGGGCGCATTCGCCCAGGGTGCTGCGTTTCCTTTGCACGGTTGTGCATCCATTACGGACGTAACGCGGCTAGAATTTTGAGGGTGGGGAAATGTTAAGCGGGGAATGTTTGTTAAAACTTTAAATAAAATTGTCAATTTCCTTTCTTAAAATTTGTGACAGTTTCGATTTCTTTCTCAATAAATAGCTGGTGATTTACTAAGACTAAGAGGCAAAAAAGCTGGAAAGTAATGAAATATATGTCAATAGCGAAATAAACACCATTAACAGATTACTAACAAAGCAACTTGGTTCCATCAAGATACATAAACTCACTAACACTGTCTCTCATTTTACTAATCACAAACCAAAGTCAACTTAGGAGGCATATAAATAATTAAGTTACATCTATCAAATTAGAGCTGACCAACCACAGACCATTTAAATAGCTTATTTGCCTACTATGACTCACAATTGTCGAGAAAATGTCAATCCATTTGCATAGGAAGGGGGCTGTGGAAGGGGTGGTCCACACAGGTGCCACTTAAAAAATAAAATATATAATGAGGGGCGGCATTTTCAGCGAGCTGAAGAGTTTTTTTTTATTTTTTTAACTTAGTGGTAGTGGGTGGCACAACTCTCTAGTTAACATATCGCAACATAATCCCTGGTCCGCTCGTAACGTTTTCCAGATCTGCTCATTATGAGGACACGTGACACATCAACCAGTGCTTGGACATTGGTCGCTCTCTGTTGTTGGTGGAATTCTATAACGTGGACCATTAATAATTAAATTAATATTATTAATTTTCTAAAATTCAAATGAAAACAATAAATGTATCTAAATCATCTTGATTACTATATTTTTTTTAAAAATTGATCTACGAAAGTGGCTTAAACTAAAAAATAAAATTAGAAAGAAAAAACAACTACCTGCACTAAGAAATTTTAAGCAAAAAAAAAACACGACTAAAAAGAATAAAAGTATGAATCTATGAAATAAGGAGAAAAAACATTTTTAAAAAAATAAATTTCATACTAGTATTGTTATTACACCCGGCTCCAAAGCCATTTAATCTATACGGAGCCACTCCGGGTCTGACTAGCCAATTACAGCTATATGTCCCCGGGTACCTATTGGTGCAGCTATTTGAATTACCTTAATTTAAACTGCTGCGAGCTGAATTGTTTTCTGAGTCGTCGTCCCCTCCCCCCCC